AAAAAAAAAGTGCCATAGAATGCCTGCAGTTCGCACTTTGCCGGTAATATATATATATATATATATATATATATTTATTTATTTATTGAAAAAAAAACAACAACAGCTCAATGCGCCAGAGACACACAGACAGTTTGAAACAGTTTCATCCAGTCATGGGCGTAGCCAGGATTTTTTTCGGGGGGGGGGGGGGTTGGGGGGATATTTGCTTCCCCCAACCCCTCCCCCCGCGAAAAAAAAATATTTATTTATGTGTGTGTTTGTGTGTGTACATCATCCTTATTACATTCTGACCCTTCATTCTTTCGGAAGACGTTTATTGTGCCCTAGAATACGTTTTTCCTGGAGTTAGTGGAAAAATTGTAGATTCCCTGCCATTGACAGCAAGGGGGTCTGGGGGAGCGCTAGGAGCTCCACAATTGCGGGGCGGAGCCCCGCCGCCAGGAACTTTCTGGTATTGAAAGCCAACAAAATGCACATTCTGAGGTATCTACAGTGCATTTTCCTGCTATTAAAAAAGTTTTATTTCAAAAACATAATGTGCTATTCTTACTGACTTAGACCCTCCCGCGCCGTTTGCCGTCAAGCTGTTTCCTGTTTCCATAAAAATCTGTCACTGGTAATGTCTGAAGCCTCTTCCCACCTGCTCGGAGGACCTCCATGAATTTGTGGCGCCAAGTTGTACTAGGATGTCATCGCAACTCTTCTTATGCGTAATTCATTTTGTCGGAGAACATGCCCAGCAAACCTCATGCGACGCTCTATCACAATCTTACTAAGGGGTCGATTCCCACTTCAGCATAGGATTTCCTTGATTTAGACCAGATCTCTATAACTGACTCCTAAAATCTGTCTTAGCCATCTTTATTGAGCCTTATTTAGTGTTTTTCAATTTCGGCAGATGACTATTAACTGCACTTTATTAATGGAGCCCTGCCACTGGTAGAAATGTGTAACCTATCTTGAATACGCTCTTGGAATTAAGTGACTGTAGTTTGCTTTAGATTTTATATCGAAAAGGGAAGTTTTATCGTCAAAATCATGTGTTGGGGGTTTTCCACCTCAAAATGCTCTGTAGGGGGATTTTAAACTCAAAACCATCTGGAGGGGTTTTAAACTTAAAAATAAAAGCCATTTTTAAAAGAGGGGTTTAAACTCAAAACCCCCGATTGGATTGGCTACGCTAAAATAGTGTGTAATTTGCTTTTTTTTTATATTGAAGAGGTATTTTTAGCATCAAACCCCTCTTAATGGGGGTTTAAACTCAAAACACCTTTTGGCAAGGCTCATAGCATTTTCAGTGCGTAATTTGCTTTTTTTCTTACACTGAAGATGAATTTTTTAGCATCAAACCCCTCTGGCGGGGGGTTTAAACTCAAAACCCCTTTGGCTACACTCATAGATTTTAGAGTGAGTAATTTGCTTTTATTTATATTAAAGAGGTACTTTTTAGCTTCAAACTCCACTGGAGGGGAGTTTAAACTCAAAACCCCTTTGACTACACCCATAACATTTTGAGTGTATAATTTGGTTTGTTTTTATTATTAAAGAGGTATTTTTTACCTTCAAACCCCGCTGAAGTGGGATTTAAACTCAAAACTGAGTCAAAACCCATTTAGCTGCGCTCATAACATTTTTAGGGCGTAATTAGCTTTTTTAATGTTGAAGAGGGGGTTTATCGTAAATTTTAGAGGGGGTTTTAAAATCAAAATCTTCCTTAGCTGTGCTTTTGGAATTAAGGGATTTTCGTTTGCATTTTTTTTTGTTTTGTTTTATAGAAGAGGGGGAGTTAACGGCAAAAACCCCATGCAGGGGGTTTAAAACTCAAAACCCCTGGTACGGGTTTTTAAACTCAAAACCCTTGGTAGGGGGTTTTGAACTCGAACCCCTCTGGTAGGGGTTTTAAAATCGAACCCCCCTGGTAGAGGTTTTAAAATCGAACCCCCCTGGTAGGGGGTTTTAAACTCAAAACCCCTTTGGTTGTGCTGGGGCAAGTGATGGTTTAGTAATAAAATCTCACCTAAAATAAACAAAATCAAAGCGAAAAACCAGTCACTAAATTCCGACCCCCCCCCCCTTCTGGGGTAGGGGGGAATTTCATTTCGTGGGGGGGGGGGGAGGGGTTTGAACCCCAAACCTCCCCCCTGACTACGCCCATGTTTACAGATGATTCAGTGCATATGATCTCTGTAAGTGATTCAAAATACAATGAAATTCAAGACTGTACAAGCAAAGAACTTTTAAGCTTCGGGAAGCAATTATGACTGGTTGGCCAGACATAAGAAGCGAGACTCCAATTGAAGTCAGGCCATATTGGGATTCAAGAGACCAGTTATCAACTTCGGATGGTATTATTACAAAGGTCTGAGAATAGTCATGCCACCAAGCTTACGTAAATACATGCTAAATCTGATTTACAAGTCTCACTTAGGAATAGTCAAGTGTAAGCAGAGAGCAAGAGAAGTCATGTATTGGCCAGGCATGAATGCAGACATTGAAGTGACAGTTAAGGATTGTAGCAGGTGTGCTGAACAACAGAATCAAAAAGTGTCAGAACCAGTAATGCCTACCAAGACACCAGACCTTCCATACAGTATGGTTGGGTGTGATCTGTTTAACTTTGAGGGGAAAAAGTATGTACTTTTAGTTGACTACTTCTCAAAATTTATTGATGTCTAAGAACTGTCTCAGAAAACTACATCAGATATCACCGAAGCAAAGAAGAGTATATTCGCATGTCAAGGAATACCTAGAAGGTTAAGGTCAGATAGCGGGCCACAGTTCGCTTCAAGGGAATTCCTGAACTTCTGTAAATCATACGGAATAGAGCATGAAATGTCGAGTCCTCATTTTCAGAGTTCAAATGGTGAGGCTGAAAGAGCTATTCAGACAGTGAAGAAACTGTGGAAGAAAAGCGATGACAAATTTCTGTCTCTATTAGACTACAGAACTACTCCACTGAGTAATATTAATTTGTTGCCAGCTCAATTACTTATGGGACGCCGACCCAGAAGTTTGTTACCTTCGAGCGATGAAATACACCTAAGACACCAGATCTCAATATGGTGATAAACACTTTGACTCAATGAAACAGTCTCAGAAACATTATTATGACAAGAGGGAAGGAGTTAAGAGTCACAATCCACTACAAGGCGGAACGGCAGTCAGAATGCAACTTAATTTTAAGTGGAAACCAGCAACAGTAGTTTCGAAGCATTCGAAGCTTAGATCATATAATGTCAAACGTGGAAATAAGGTCTACAGAAGAAACAGAAAACACACCAGAAAGTCTTCTGAGAAAGCAAACAGACTTGACAATAACTATGACTTTCCAGATGACATCTCAGAACAACTAGAACCACTATATCTAGAGAGTCCAAGATTACAAACTACACCAGATGTTGAGCCGCCACTACACTCTGCTTCTTCTAACACATCTAGACCACATGAACCTTACGGAACACGCTCAGGCAGAATAGTTAACAAACCCGAGACTGGATTTGTGAATTGACTTTTAGTTGGCTAGTTTGTTAATTATTCTGATAAATAGGCCTATATTTTCTGAAAGAAGAGAGATGTGTAACATTGGTATAATATGTACATTTGCACACTAGCGAGTCAGTGCAACAACGCTTGTGTTTACGTAATAGATGGTTCCTAATATGTCTTCCCTCTTAAACACTAGTTTGTTATTTGTGTAATACGAATATTCTACAGTTACTCTTAAAAACTGACATTTTTCTGGGTGGAAAGACATGCTCCTATTTGATTCCCATTTTTGTAATTCATCTAATTCTCTTTGTAAAATTTCTGTATCTTGTGTTGTTCTATATATTATGCAACCGTCTGCAAAAATCCACTGATGTAATGGACCATCAATTTGCATCAATGCCAAAATATTTTAGTTTTTAAGCAAACTATGGTGATGAACTTTGTCAAAAGCCTTGGAAAAAATCGAATAAGATAGTGTGGGTGCTTACGTAGGCCTATTTCCTAGTGTATAAATGCAAAGAAGCAAGAGGGTTCATCAATTTCACATGATGTTGATCTAGGAACACATTGTATTCACTGTGCTGAAAGACCAACATTGAATTTAAACCAATTAAGGAAAACATTCTTAGTTTCAGTTTGTCTGATTCTTGTTTTATTAAAACATTTTTTTTAATGCGAAATTTTTTTTAAAAAAGGCCGTCACAAATTTGGGCCTAAAATCTAAACTCTGCTTGCATGTTAACTTTTAAATTTAGTTAAAAATAATTATTAAAAATGTCTGCATATTTATACTAAATTTTAAAACAAGATTTATTAGTTGTACACTGGACCTCCACTTAATGCATTCAAATAAGTGTCATACCAAAGGCTTTTGAGATTGACACTATGCTAAAACCCTATCTGAAGGTCTCCCCATCAACTAGATGATCATTTCATCACATCTGTTTTTCTGGTTCAACGCTCTTTGAATCCATTGCCTAGTGTCACAATCACTGGAGATTTTGGTTTGCCTGTGTTCTCTTATCAATGTTTCCACGAGGATTACACGTTGTTACCATCAGTTTGATGTAAAATAAAAAAACAAAATTTAATTGGCTGTTGTTCGTGTTATTGAAAAATAGTACAAACTCGCAAAGGCTTCAATGTTCCCATCAATTTCTCATCTCTTTGTCTATATATGGAAAATCAAGCCTGCTTACGAGTTGTCTGACAGGCGAATTGTGTGAATGATCACAGGCATGTTTTTAATAAACATTTTGTTTGGAAAGTTGTATAATTGCACTTGGAGGTAGTTTGTAGTTCATAGCTTCTGATATTGGTGAGGAAAATGTCAAAACCTACCTGTCAAACAGCAGACTCACTGGGGACCATCTTTGAGTTTGGTGTGAAAACACAAGCTTTCTTACTAATTTTTTTTTTTTATTTCAAGGAAAAATGTTATACTCATAATTTATAAAAGCTTAAAAGGGCTCACTAACAGTATATGCAATTTTCATTAGTGAAATGTAACAATATCTGTATTGACCTAGTGGTAAGGTTTTCAAACTATGGGTTGCACATTAAGATGAATCTCTTCTTTCATTTTCTTTTCAAAACTATTATAATGATAGGATTTTAGGAAGATGATTACACAAAGAGTAAAACATAATTTTAACCCTAAGAAAAAAATAAATTTCTCAGCTTACAAATCAATCAACCCATCAAACTTTATTAGACTCCTTATAACAAAATATAGCAAAAATACTTTAGAATGTAAGGCACCTGACAGCTTTATAATGTCTATCAAAAAAAAATAAATCAATCTTCACTTCAGGTACTACCAGTGGAACTAGAACAACAAAATTTACAGTCAACCTTAAATGAAAAAATCACCAGTTCATTAACCTTCACAGTCACAATTATCAAGCTTTTAAAATATTTCAGAGATACAAGTAACCATGCATACATAAAATATAACAAAACATTTTCCTTTAAATGCAACAGTAAAAAGATATAACTTTTATATAGCTCAACTTTTAGCTGTTCAGAACGCTGTGGTCCAATCTCTTTTTTAGACCAGTTGGGGGGGGGGGGGGGGGGGGTTATATGGGAGGTTTTTGTGCCCCATTGATAGGTAGCCAAGCCCCATTGATAGGTAGGCAGTGGTTTAAGCCTCTCAGCCACATATCTGACAAAGATTTTTTAAATTCTAATATTTTCTTGAGTATATAACTTTCATGATGGGAACACTAAGCATTTCAAGGTTTGTGAAAACCAATCCTAACAGGATCATCAAAGAGATGCCAGCAAGCTGCTTCCCAGATTTTTGTTTGTAACCCACCAAATCATTAAACAGTTTGCTTTTTTTTTTTTAATGGACAGACATTTCAAGAAATTAAATTAAATTAAAACAGATGTATAAAAGACACCATTGCTTAACTCATTCTCACCGTAGTTATTTTCACGTTCCGATGGAACTATTAATTTTACTCATTTGTGTTTCACTACTATGTTATGATTTAACTTCAATAACTTGTTTGTATTTAATCAGGAAATGTTGCATTAGGTATATAATTATAGAAGAATGCATGCTCTTTATATATAACACAAATAAAAGTTTCTAAAACCAAAAATTAATTTAATTTCATGGGGCAAATCAAAGTTAGTATCGTCAGTTAGGAGAGAAAGAGTTAAGGCTAGATGGAATTTGTTGCATGCAGATTTAAAAATGAAACTATTATTGAAGCTTAGCTGTGATTTACTGCATGCAAATATTCAAAATATATGCCAATGATTTGCACCAAAAACTATTTTCAATTCACTGCAGTAGTGAAGTAAATTAATTGACCGATGGTGAGTCATTGTAGAATAAATTGGCTTGGAGGATAAATAAAGTACAAAATCAGAAAAAAAATCAAATGACAACAATTCATAGAATGAAACTGGATTAGAATACTTGTAGGTTTTGGTAAGGTCCGGGTGAGAGTTTACAATCTGCAGAAATAGTTCACAATTATTACATTTAAGTAACTGACTTCTACATCACATATACTTTTTTCTAACAAAGTGCCATTTTTTTAACAATCTGCCTTTCCTTTAAGTAAAAAATATTAACTATTGTGATCCTTTAACACCATTTAGGGTATAATGCCCCTTTGACTCATTTTGAAGTATTCTTAAAAATTCGCTACAACAATGATAAAAACTGTGAATCAGTTTTACTATCAACTTTATGTAGAATACTGTAGGGTCAACCAAGCATTTATTTTGTAATCAATTTTCTTTTTTTTAAAATCACAATAGTTTTTTGTTTTCATAAGAAGTTAAATATAAGAATATAATGGATAAACCCAAAGGAATAGGAAGATGAAATACAATATTTCTTACAAATTACAAGATGTTACAATTAAAACATCATATTAAGTTTGATATATGTATATATATATATATATATTTATTAAAAACAGCATTAATTATAATAAATTGACAGTAGATGAAAAAAAAACATCTAGTTTAATGTCTACTTAGGTATGACTGCCATGATATATAAAAAAAACTTTTTTATCAATGTCAGTTTGAATTGAGCCAGTAATAACAATACTGGATTAACTTTTTTGAATGAACACACTAAAATGATATTTAAAACAAAAGAATGTATTTAAATTCTTATGAATAATCATGCCAATACAGATTTAAACATACATTAACAGAAAAAATGCAGATTGCATTAATAAAGTGCCGCACTAGTAACCAGTTTAAACAATAGACATGAAATATCATCTCTCCGTACTGCATCTCACAAATTTATAAAGGAAAAAAAAAAATGAATATAGATATTGCAACTTTGTGTTGTAAACTGAATTCTTACATCGACTAGAAGAACAAAAAGCAGCTTGAAAAAGGCAATAACTTAATTTCATTTAACTATTTACTTGTCTTGTACTATTCTTGGAGATCTTTACTCAAATTTAATGCCTTGGGCCAATGGAAGCTCTTTGCTAAAATTGATTGTACTGAAAAAAACCAAACATACTGACTTAATTTATAACCAATTTTCTTATTTTATAGGAGTGCAAGATTTTAGTTTATGCAATATTGTTGTACTGGGAATATTCACCTATTTATTTTTAGAGTTTGGCAGTTTCAGTATAGCTCAGACATTTTATGTTTGCATGAAGAAGGATTAACAAGGTGTTTCTGGTTGCTACATACCTTACCCTAACATTTCTGGTTACCACATACAGAGGATTCAGCCCCCATTGCCTTAACATGGCGCTTCTGTCTGTGAAACTCGTCTAGTAGTGGAACTAGATAAGTTACTAATGGGAAGTGAACAAGGTCCGGGCTTCCGGGCTACCATGGGTGAGCTTTTTTTTAAATCTCAAGGTGGGGATAGAACAGATAGTCCTTTGACCCAGGTTAAAAAAAATGTGCTACATCGTTCCACGAAGGCTGCCAACATCATTGTCCTGTTAGCTGAAGTGATGGTAGTCCCTGCACGGAATAGTGGCGTTTACAGTATAGGAACATGGTAAATTCCCCATGGTTAGCGCCTCTTCAGCCACTTATAGCAAGTGGGAGCAGGACTGAGGTGTGGCACACTGTGTACGTGGTACAGTCCCCAGATCCGCCAATGGCCACATTGCTGGGAAGCCTTAGACACTACGGGGGCTAAGAGCTGCCGGTCTGAGCCTGTTCATTATATAAAATCCTTTCCAACAATCAATGGGATAATGGCGCCTTTGGCGCTGATTTCCTACTGGACTTTTTGTAATAATTATTTATAAGTCACAAAGAATATTGAATCAGTATAAATAGCCTACCATGTGGAACGTCTCATATACTGTTTCCATGAATCACTTCCAGATTCTCTGCCGCCACCTGTGTGTTTCTCACCACCTAATAATTTATGAAACAACAAATTAATTAATCAAACATTAAAAACTAAATGCTTTGACAGTGTCAAACATTTTTGCTTACATGAGTTATACTATAAGATAAGCTAATTTTTTAAAACTTTGGACTACAATCAGGAAAATGCACAAAGCTAAACATTTTTTAGTAAAAAAAAAATAGTATTAATTTGTGAAACATAGCTACTTGTTATTTATTAGAAATAATAATCACACACATTTAAAGCAATCAAGTGTCACACTGTCTGAGCCCATCAATGCAATCTCATTGTGAAATTGGACAGATGGGATAAGAGGCTACTAAGAAGGTTGAGAAGTTCTAAGAGGATGAACTAGTATTGTTGGGTAAAACTGGGTTAACTTTTGAGAGAATAGAATTAATCAATTCTGTCTTTTGCTTTTGTTCTGATATCTATATATATAATTCTCTTCTTCGCTCAAGAGTTTGGACGAGAAGAAGAAGTAAATGAAAGATCACTCTTTTATTTATGCGAATAGAGTTAGCCCACGAACTTTATGAGCCTTGCGTGTAGTGAAGTCATTCAGTGTATCAAAAAAATTCTATTTCCTACATAGATCAAGCTCAATAGCAAGAATTAACAAATGTTTCAATCTATCTATGAGAATTGTTGAATTAAAGTAATTCTTCATTAGACTGAGGCGCGAGAAGCTTCTTTCACCAGAGTCCAAAATTATGGGATAATGCTGTTTTTTTTATCGCGCATAGGATTGGCATTTTCCTTATTGAATGACACCCCAAAATGACAATTTTTGCCAATATATTTCAGGAGATACGTATACGTTTTCTAAAGATTTTAATAATTTTTGGATATTTCCAAGACTTTTTCGTATATTTTGCAATATCAGGAGATTTTCAGGAGCTCCTGGTAAATTGACAGGAGGCCGCGGGAAATCTGTTATAAGTTATACAATGGTTTAATTTAATAATTTATACACCTAGAATCAGCGCGGATCCTATGAAAGTACGGGGCCCACTGTGGTCACCTAAGGCCAGCCCTGCAAAATAGTGGCGTATGCTACGCCGCTGGACAACTAGTTATGCCATAACTGAAATAGTTTACAAGCAACTTACCAAAAGCTCCACCTATCTCAGCTCCACTGGTTGGAATGTTGATATTAACTACACCGCAATCTGATCCCTTGGGACTGAAAGAAACAAAATTATATCAGCAAAGTAAATAAAGAAATAGTCACAAAAAAAAACAACTAACAACACTAAATGACCTACCCTATCCATTTCTGTATAAGACTTAAGTCTTTGGTAAACAAACTACTGGAGAGTCCTTGCTTGGCTTCATTATTCCAACGGATTGCTTCATCTACATTCTGTTCATTTAAAATACAATGTTCAATTGTCAATTTGAATGCATGTAAATTAGTCATAAATACTTTCTGACTTACAACTGTCAAATTTTCAAATGTCTTTTTAAATTTTAAATGAAACTCATTTAAAATATACACACAATGTTACTAGCTAGTCATAAATAATTTTGACTTACAACTGTTAAATTTTGAAAGGTTTTTTTTTACTTAAAAAAACTCTATATTTAACCCTTTAGACGTGTGTGGTAGTCTAGCCTCTAAACACCGGAATTGTAAATGCATTTTATATGCACACTTGTAAAAAAGCTCAGCACTTTAAGGATTAAATGTTAAATGAAGCTCACTTAAACTATACACACAATGTTTTTAGCTAAACATCAGAGATTTAAACAGCATCAGTTTTCAAAGTCATTTAAAAAAAAGAGCATCAATTACCTTACATTTCAAGACATAAACAATGGGAACAAAAGTTTCTTTCATAACAATCCCAGCATCATGAGCTAGACCAACAACAATAGTTGGTTCAACATAGTTTCCTGGTCTATCAAGCACCTGGAGAAAGATGACATAATAGAAACATCAGACACAAGAACCATAAAAAAAACAAACAAAGCAAACAGCAGTTGGAATGACACAGTTTTGGCCCAAATACCTTTTTTTTAAAAAAAAAAAAAAAAACAATAATGCAATATTGATTTGTAAGAATTTGATACAATAGTGTTGAAATAAAGCTAACAGAAGAGCTAAGACAACTAAAAACAATTGGAAACCATTGAATTGTACTTTGTATACAAAAGTTGAACGAACACACTCAAATTACATAAAATATTGTTTTTGAACTATCA